CAGGGCGCTGCAGCGGCGCGGTGACACGCGCTCCTGCCGCAGCCGTTAAATCCCGTGCACAATGACGTGGGCCGTAACGCGCCGCTGGGATTCGTTCCTGGAACTATTCCTCCCCGCTGCTGTTATAAAGCAAAGTCAAGAAAGCTCAACGAAGTGGGGTGGCACCAACCCCCCCCCCCCACCCCACAACCAACCCTCCCTCGATAATCTGAATAGGACGGAAAAATTTCCTTTCGTTTTAATGGCACCCAGTCAGAATGGTTTTTTGTATATGTCAATAATATTCCTTAAAAAATAAGAGGGACATGCATTTGTTTTAGCACTTCCAGCTATACCTCTTAATTTTCCATATATCCACTTAAGAAATACTCTAATTAATACAGTTATTTGAGAGAAAACAGCAACAAACTGGGTCTGTTGGCTTCAGTTCACAACCACCTGACAGCTCCTGTGAACAGCGTCAGTTCCCCTTGAGCCATCATCAACGTAAATAAGACTAAAGCTCTATCATCATCACTTGCCCAACCTTATTCTGCTATACACAAACTGTATTCACACACAAAACCATTCTGTTCTATTCACAGAAAAATATTCTATTGTGTCAACACAAAACCATTCTATAAAGGGCAGGGCCACCTCGCATCAATTCCATAACCCCACGTACATCCAAGCACGCCATTAGCAAAAAAAAAAAAACCCACAAAGCCACCAGTTCTGCCACTGCAAGCCCTGAACTTTAACTGCCAAATAACCTCCGGCAAACCCCCCCATCTGTGCAAAAATCTAGGCACAGAAATTCCTATTTGGAACTTGCAAATTTTTGACCGTATCCTACTCGTTCAATTTGCTGGGCCTCATGTAAAGACGGGCGTTCCGACACAGAGCGTGCTTCAAAGATGTCCAGGTGGAGTGTGGAACAGTCGAGGGAGCTGTTCCAGTATCCACCAACCCAGCTGCACTCGCCCAGTGAGGAAGCCATCCCCATCGGCCCCCGCAATCGCAGGAGACTATCCAGGGGCTCCTTGTAAAAGCGTTTACAGGGGTGACTTTAAAAGCAGTGGCCTCCTCCCTGTTGGGGTTTTTCCCCCCTAATAATTCCACAGCTTCACCACAGTACGAGCAGCAGAACCCCCAAGCAAGCGCAGACGACGCT